TTAAAAGGTTGCGACACTTTTTTTTTATAGGTTTCTAATTTATATTTAATATACGTATAATATATATTTTATAGATAACTAATATTTTGCAAATGCAAACCACGATGTACTATCTTTACTTTAAAAGCAGTATAACACCAATCGTGGTCCGCATTTGCAAAATATTAATGTGTTTTGAAACCTATAAAAAAGAAAGTGTCGCAACCTTTTAGTGAGCGAGTGTACATCTATAGCATAAGACCCCAGTACAGCGACAGAGAACAGTTATTCATATAGCGTCAAAATGTACTGTTAAAAATTCAGTGCAATAAAGTTTGCCTTTATTCAATTATTTTCGTTTATCTGAATATAAATTTAGAAAGAGAGAAAGAGAGAGAGAGAGAGAGAGAATTATACCAGCCTTATATTTTTTATTCGTCGAATATCCTCCTATAAAAAAAAAGAGCGATAATGTTAAGTCGATTACTCGCATTTTTCGAAATTTTCTCGAAGTTTATTGTTGAATCTTTTCCGCGATGTTGATTGGTTTTCTCGTTTTGCTAACTTTGTGAGCAATTATACTGTCATTGCATATTTTGACAGTTGTGCGTATCGAAGGGTTAATAGTCTAATACAATGTATTATGTAAACGTTGTTATAGTAAGAAAAGTCAAAAAAAAGCTAAAGCGAAGCGCGCATCTATGATGCAGTCTAGTATCATAAAAAAAATATTCGAATATGTCAACTCGGTAATGACAAACAGGAAATAAACATAAATAGGTAGTTTGCCGTATGATTTTATAATTGCTACTTATATACGTTATAAATAATATACTGTGCTATTTTTTAAGAAGGATTTGTAACATGATGTAGCTGCACGATCGAGAAAAACGCACAATTCCACATGAAAAAAGTTAAGTTAAAACTGTATATCTTTTCTATATTGAGATTTCTTTTTAAAGAAAATTGATTTTGTAAATTGCAATTAATAAATTATCTTCCAATTTTTATCAAAATCAGTGGTTCTCGGAAATTGATGAAAATTACAAAAGTGAGCGAATTTACTAGAATATTTAGTTGATTAGAATTTTGTTGATCACCATCTAATAAATTTGTTCATTTTTGTAATTTTCACCAATTTCTGAGAACCATAATAGTTTCCTGAACTATTCCGTAGACGATTGTCTAGGAAAAAATAAGTGACAATCTAAAAGATTAATATGCTTATTCGTTGATTGCAGTGTATACATATTTTTACATTCAGGCTTGTATTCGAACCTTAAGCTGGTTCTACATTATAAAACGTTGCGATCCAATTAACGTCATGCTAGCTCGAAGCTGATCAACTGGATCGCAACGTTTACAACACTGCGATGCGATTAATGTAGAACCAGTTTTTTATGATTAAGACCGTTTTAAGTATAGTACTCACGAAATCGTACATATTAGTATCTTAATGAAGCACTGAGATGCATTCATGTCCCTATTATATTATTTTTGGATTCAAATAAATTGAAATACGAAATGAGCTATATTCATCGATCATGTTGAATTCGGATGTATTCATGTCTGTATTATATATTATTTTTAATAATATATATTTAAATAAATTAAAATACGAAATAATTCGCTATTCATCATTATATTGAATTTTGATGTATTCATGTCCATATTATATTATTTTTGGATTTTAATGGATTTGAAAAATCAGTAGCGCCAATTCGAAAATGTTGAAATAAATTCATATATTTTTCCATC